TCCCTTGGAGCAGGAGGGGGAACGGGGCGCAGCTGAGAAGGGGACACGAGAGGGGGAAGCGTTGGCTGAAGAGGATGGCGAGGACTCGGAGCGAAACCGTCCAGTGTCGGTCAGACCCGCCTGTGCGAATAAGTTAATAGACTACATCCTAGGGGGAGTTTCCAGTGGGGAGGAGAGCGCGGATGATGAGGAAGACTGGGAGGATGATGACGATGGGTTCGATAGCGAAGAGGAGCTCCCCTCGGATTCAGACGCCGGTAGCCAGGGCGGGGAGAGGCTTCACCTCTGGAATTCCTTCTACAGTTTGGACCCGTACAACCCTCAGAACTTCACCGCCACCATTCAGACATCGTCCTGCGATCCGGCAAGGGACATGTCGGATGTGGAAGGGGAGGAAGATGACGATTCTTCGTCGGTAGAGGAGTCCTCCGGCTCTCCTCACCCTAGTTCTGAGGAGGAGGAGGAGGAGGAGTGGGACTGTAGCAGTGCGGATGAGGCAGAAAACTTGAAACTTTGGAACTCGTTCTGTACCTCAGATGATCCGTATAATCCTTTAAACTTCAAGGCAGCCTTTCAGACGGCAGAGAAGAAAGGGACGCCTGGTTCAAAGGGAGCAGAGAGGCCGAGTTTGGTCACGTCTGAGTGCAGTCCCTTAGGTAGCTGTCGGGGGCAGGTGGAGAAGCGTGACTGTGGGGGCAGGGTGCTGCATGGCATTCTTTCTGCTGAGAAATGGCCACGTTCCAAGCGGAAAAAGGTACAGGCTTTGCTTGTGGGATTGTGTGTTGGTGCTGCTAAAACCCCCGAACACGAGCCCCGCTGCGGTGGGGGGTGCGGGGGCTCGTGCCCCTGTGAGCTCATGGGCTGGTGCTTTGGCTGAGTGTGCCTCATCCTTTGCACGTGATGGGCATTTCACAACTCGGTGACGTGGGGCACTTCCTCACGTTCCTTGTTTAGGCTTGTAGTTACATTTTTTTCTCTGAAGAGGTGGCTTTCGTGCTGTATTTGTGTGGTAAATCCCTGTTGTGTAGTTTCCATCCTCAGGGAAACGGTGGAGATCTATGACGTAAGTTTTTCCTGTGGAAAATAACAGTGATAAAGCATTATCAGTGAGTAACACCGATAAAGTATTTTAGGACCTTTGTATGCACATAGTGTAATCCAGGCTTTAGGAGTTGGGACAAGCCTGCTTGAGTTACAGATGTCTTTCGGAGTAAGAAGAGCTCTTCTGTTGGGGGTTAACACAATAATACACTGAAGTTTGAATACAGAGTATGATAATACTCCTGTTTTCATTTAAAAGACTTCAAATGCAGCAGTCATTTCAGTATAATCTGGAGCTGGGCTGCTGAGCACAAACTGGAAGATTAATGTGGTTCTGAAGAGTTTGTGCGTTAAAAAGCACCCTTTTTAATACATGTGCCAGGATTCAGGTAAATAGGAATAACCTAATTGCTTGTCTCCTAAGTTTGGTGATGCTACAGATGGACCCTGTGGCTTTCCAGGTGTATCTTGCCTGATACTTCAAACATTAGGATGAGGAAGAGCTTGTAATCCCAAGTCCCAGGTTAATACAGGGGTGTGTAACTATCATGTTTGCTTTAGTGTTCTTAGAGCAAAGAGATTTGTTTGCTCCTTTAATTGAGAGCCTGGCTTGGAGGTAACTTCATACCTGTCCTTGCTGGGGCAGGTGGTGCTTACAGACCTCATGGATCTCACAGGACAAGCTGTGGAGGTTTAGTCAAAATTGGAAAAGTCTCCAACAGTTCCTGCAGGAGGTTTCTTTGGGACTGAAACAGGGAGCCCTGCTGTAAGCTTGCTGCCTGTCAGGGATGGAGGCTCCACAGGGGTGATGTTCTGGTTGCTGTGTGGTTTGAGTCTGTGCAATCGTGGTGAAAGAACCATGACCTAGATGCAGGATTTAACGTGACGTTGCAGCACCCAGTAATTGTGCCCAGGGGTGTCTCAGACTGATGTAAAAAGGATGTAAGGTGGGAACCCGCAGAGGGACGGGCTGATGTAACAGCTCCCTGTGCTTGAAAGCACATCATTAGACCTATCTGTAAACCAGAGCTGAGGTTGCCAAGCAGGGCCCGATGTGTTCCCGGGAAACCTTGGGGTCCTTGATCCCGTTTCCCATCTGGCATCTCTCATTCACACAGCAGCAAAGCCATCAAAGCCGGCAGCGCTTTGTCCTGCTGGAGAGGTACCAATGCCTTGACACGGGAGGACGTGGGCTCTGATGCCCCTGCTCTCAGAGGTGTCTGCAGTCCTTTGGGATCACTACACTAGATTTAGATGACTTCGGGAGGCTTCCACACAGTGTCTTGTGGCTCTGTATCCTCAGCTGCTGATTATTCCTGGAGGTCTTCTCTTCCCTAGCTGTTATCTTCGTGTTGGAAGATGGCTTTACCACAAAAGCAATCTCCTGTCTGTGTTAGCATGAAGTGGGCATGAACCTGGGCTCTTGTGTTAATAAAACAGGAATAGAGCAGCAGGTGGGTTTTACCTCCCTATGTGTTTTCCTGACCTTCCAGATCTAGCTGCCCTGCAGCAGATCCAGTGGAGCCACCTGTAAGGACAGCGTTTGGCTTCTCTTCAGGAATCAGTCCTAGTCTGTGAGCTGATGGATGCTGAAGCTCCCTCGTTTGTCTTTCAGTTTGGTAACTAAATGGAAAGCAGCACACAAGTCAGTGGGAGCCTGGAGTGGTCTGGCTTTGCTTACCACGTGATAACAGGAAGACTTAAATCCGTAGTACAGTAATAGTGTAACCCCTGTCAAGGTTTGATCCTGAGCCTGGGCATCTGCTTTCTTAAAACAGCTGAATTGCTCTGAAACATAGTGAGGAGTGAAAGGTTTTGATACCTATTTTAAAATGCCATCACTTTGATTCCATGTCCTTGCCTGAACTGGAATACTCTGGAATGTGACACCAGCTCTGAGTAGATGGGTTTGTTCCAGTCACACAGCGATGAGTGTTGCTTCCTTCTGTGTAACCTTGTGTGATTCCTTACCCTGGTGCTGAAGCTGACTCACGTGGTGGTTGCTTCACAGGACAGTGATTCCTCCCTTCCTTTCTGAAGAGGAAGCCTCAGCCATGGGAGATGTTGGCAGGAGGGTGTCTCTGTAATGTCTTGGCACGTCCTCCTGGCTCACCTGCCCGCACTGTCCGTGTAAGGTTATAACCCAGGTGCTGGGGGCAGGGGTGTTCTCCAACAGGGAACACGCTGTGATCTGCACCAGCCCAGAGGTGCCTCTGAGGCTAATTTAGGAACCCTGGAGCAGTTTAAGCTCTGCTTTAGAAGTCAGCAGCTGGTTGTCTTTAAAGCTGAGGTGACGCATGCTCCGGCCTAGGTAGCCTGTCGGAGGCTCTCAGCTATTTTAGGCGTCGAATAACTTCTGTTTAGATACAAAAGCATGTGCAAATAAATACTAAGCTCCTTCTGCACGAGTGCTTGGCTAATGCTTTACTACTTGTGTTTTCCAGGTGACCTTCCTTGAGGAAGTTACTGAGTATTACATAAGCAGCGAGGAGGATCGTAAAGGACCCTGGGAAGAGATTGCACGGGATGGATGCAGGTTCCAGAAACGGATCCAGGAAACAGAGGAAGTGATAGGATACTGCTTCACAGCAGAGCATAGGCAGAGAGTATTCCATAGGCTCCAAGAAACCTACTACAAGAGGCTTGATCTCTTCTAGCACCTTCGAAGACCTGGGGGTTTGTGTGACCCTGAGCACTCATGAACGTCTTCAAAACGAGAAGTGGCAGCTGCATGTGCTCTTCTGAAGTGGGAGAGAAGTGGGATTTTAGCACTTTCATCCCAGTTGGAATATACCTGTGTCCCATTTTGATATCCAGACAAAATCTTTTGAGTATCATCAAGGGTAAGGGTGGTATAATTGCATTCCTTTTAAGTAACACTTGAGAGACAGACTCTTTTAGGTTCAATCCATTCCAGAAATGCCTTGTCTGCCGTATGTTGAGAACTGATGATGATTAAGTTGGATTTTTTGCACTTTGAAAAAGCAAAACCTATTTTGAAGGAAATATTTATGGGGCTCAGAACCTAAATCTTGCAGTTTTGATTTAAAGTTTCCAGAGGTTTGTGCTCTTCTTGTGGTTCTCCATTTCCTCGGACTTGTGCAGAAGCCTCAGATTTTGTTAGCTAATGATGTTTACTGTGCAAAATGCCTTTTAAGATCCCAGTTTTGCATGTAATGTGCTGCTTGAGTGTTAATGTGATGCTTTGGTGTCTTAATATTTCGGTCTAGCACACTGGGAGATTCAGGGGAGCTCTGGTGCACTACAAGCCCTTTGGTTTGTCCTTATTTAAATACATACCTTCACCCCGTACTGTTCCAAAGGGTGCTAGCTGCTTGTGCACCAAACCTCTTTGCTTTCAGGGCAGTGAAAGGCCTCATCCTGATCAATAATTAAAGCTTCAAGGTACGTATTGAGGTTGATAGTTTGAATTTAGGTAGCCATGCACAGCCCCATGTCCTTTAGTTAACCTTAGAGGAGCTTTGCTGCAATGGATTCTGCTCTCTGAAGATGGATTGAAGTGAAGGATTCTTCATCATTTCTTGTATCCAATGTGCTCATTCTGGTACTTACAAGGAGAATTCTCTTTAACGTGTGGAAATCTAAGGCTACAAATCTCTGTGTTCTTTACCAAAAGCCAGTATTAATACCTCTGTGCATCTGCACTTTTGTTCATCTCTGACCAAACTAACATTTCACATGTGGGGTCTGGAAGGGGAGGTCCCTGGTAGAAGGCAAACACTCCTTATTAAGTTCCTAACTTCAAATATTTAATTGTTGTTGCAGTCACACTAAGAAAGCAGCACCAGTGGCATATGTTTGGACCTGAAGGATGTTGTATGGCTGGTATCCAAGCAGGTATGAGGTTGGAATAAATACCAAGCATCACAGAATTCATCTCTGTTCACATGAAGTTGCTTGAATAAGTGATTTGCTACTTGGTTCCTTCCCTTTTCTAAGGGAGAGACCCCAGAACACCCCAGATTTGTCATGTCATTAATGACTTCAGTTTTTAAATTAGAAGAAGAGCTGCAGAGAGCTGTTTTTGGCCATCTCTGGCTCAAATTCCAGAGCTTTGGGGTTTATACGTTATTCTTACTGCATGAAGGATGTTCTTTGAATTGAAAACCCACTTTTCCCTGCGACAGTACTGAAATTCAGAGGGTTAACTATGAACTACAGTCGTTACCATGTGGAGTTAACATACAGCTGATGCTCAAGCAGCATGAAAGCAATGCAGCAATGTTATTTGCCATCCCCATGGCATAGAAAAAATACCGATTGGGTTCTCCTTTCCTACAATTTGAGTTTTGAAATTGTAATTCTAATGATGCCCTCAAATCCTTTTAATTTTGGGATTGTTTTCCTGTATCCTATTTGATAACAGGGGTTCTGCTTTTTAGTGTAGGAAAAACGCCTGTGGGATGATCAGTGGAGAATTAGAATAGAGAATTTGTTGACTTCTGGTCCAGGCGTGACTGATGAGTAAAGATGCTGTTCATTGCTCTTGATAGAAGATACTGCAGTGGTTTTCCTGTGCCTCTCCTGGTTTCCTTGCTCTTGGAGAACTTGGTGCTTCAGTTACTCTGGACAACTTGATTTATTGGTGCTGGGAAGAAGCTTTAGAGTGGTGAGAATTAACCCTGCAAAGCTGACCTGCTGTTTGCACAGGCTTGGAAAGGCTCTGCCTGGGAGTGAACTGAACTGACACAGTTGGGTATCGACTACATCAAACCCTGTTATTTCCAGGGTGCTTCTGATGTTAAGAGGTTTTTTCCAGCCTGCAGTGCTCTTACTGAGCCATACCTGCTTGGGTCAGCTTTTCCCCCCTCCCGCCTCACGTTTGAAGTAGCTGGTGTGAGGTTAGCAAAGATTAACACTGAGTTCATCACCATAACCATCACCTCAGCCGGGTTGTCGCCATTGTCCCTCTCACCCGTGTTACGGCGCTCGTGCAGGACGTGCGTGGGGCGGGACTCTAAAAACCACACTTGTGAACTTTAAATCAAAACTGTAATGACCAGATTTTATTTTTATATCACTTGGGAAACTTCCAAAGCAGCGTTCTGCTTTCTGCAGAGTCTAATGGAGTTGTGTCCAGTCCGCTGGGGTTTTATATCTAAAGTTCTATTTCTGTACATAACTATCGAGCACTAATCTGGGAATTGGAATAAAGATATTTGCAAGATAAGGCCAAGTTGGTTTGCTTTGGAAGAACCGAGCCG